TGTATTTCGTTTTGGATTATCAAGGTCCCGTTTATTTACTCTAAGGTATTAAGCCAGCCTTGAGAAGATTAGTGTTGTTAATAGTATATAGATTGGATCCACCCTAATACATGGGCAGAAAACATTAGGAAAAAGAGCATTAGATATCTCATAGGCATGAGAAACACCGAGGGACCGACAAAGACGCCCTGAAAACTACCCCTCCAGTTGTTTCCAAATCTGAACCTATTGTGATATTGAGAATGCTGTGACTATACTGGTGAAGCAGTTTAAAAGTTTACGAAAAAGCATGACCACCGCATTTCAAAGTCTTAGTACAATCGAGCTAACAATTCATTTCCCCGTCGATTTGGCCCCATTCGCAATCGTTTGCTCAGCTGCTTACACGTAGCGGACGGAAAGTGATGTTACAAATTCTTAGCGGACTTTGAGCTAGCGGAAAGGCACTAAAGACCGATCACCTGCTGCTCAAATTCTGCATTTTCGTTGATTCAGCTATTTCCATCATATATCTGATTCAATAAGGTCGGAGTTGGTGTACTGGCAAGTGCCGCATTACTCGTACGCATGGTCAGGATAACGAATCCCGGATAGATACATAAAGGTTGTGGAGGTTACTGTACCGCATATTCATGGGACTCCTTAAAGGCGCTGACTTGTACATCGGGAGGTCACCACCAATCATTATATAGGCCACATTCGCATTCATTATGCTACTACGGTTCTAAATGGAAGTCGAATAAGGGGGTGCATACCAAAAACGAGATTGATCAACACTGGAGACTTTGTCCTCGATCCTCTGTCTGATACAAGCAGAAAGACAGGTTCTGCTCTAAAAATGTGCAGTTTTATGAGAGCTGTACAACGCGATATAACTGCTCGTTTATTCGACCAGCAAATACCTCTCAAAGTTGGGTATTTAAACTCAGAAATTATTACCAATACAGAAGATATACAAAAGTATGAACAATACAAAATAATAGCGAGCGAATAACACAGAAGTTTGTTTACAATTCAGTATTCGCAACTGAATGAAATGTTTGACTAACGATGAACATTGAAATATTCGCCACAAATAAGTTGAGCCATGAACCGGATAGGTAGGTAAAATACACAGAGAAGTAGAGCAAGATAA